ACCAGTGTGACCAGTGTGACCAGTGTGACCAGGGCTGTTGGCCCGCAACGGCGAGGGAACAGCTCGTGACTGCTGACAGCAACACATTCGAAAGCGCGTGTCGGATCAGCTGCCGTTCCAGAGCAGATAAGCAGTCCCATCTGAAAGCGGGTGTCAAGACGGTTGCAGCCAATCAGTGCAGGCCATGCCGAAGTTTCAGAGGCGTTGCCGCGGCTTTGCGGTCCGGGTCAGCTGCACTGGGAGCGTGGATGGTGCCATATCGGCGCGACGGCGTGACGGCGTGGGTAGATTGCACACGAGCTGCATCGACGTGGACGCCCGCGCGTTATCTCGAAAAAGGCAGGCAGGGCAGATGTCGCTTTTCTTCTTGATCGCGGTTGGGCTGAGAGGCAGGCGAGAGGGCACAGGGGCGGTGAAAGCGAGAAGAGGGGAGAAAGCCGGAGGGTTCGAATGTCCGAATCGTGCAGCAGTGCAGCACCTCACAATGGGCCGGGCTGCCTTGACAACTGTCCTTCCGAGGTCACTCTACGCGGCCCTGCATCACTCTGATTCAGGCAAGTTTGCAATTTCGACACCTGTTTGGCGCTGATGCAATCCAGGTTGACCGGCAGTGAGTGGCAGCCGCCCATCGGCATGATCCGATGGCGAGGCCGAACGTGTCTGTGTGTATGTGTGTCTGCAAAAAGGTAGAAAAGCGCACTTGCAAAAAAGGGCCTGGCTCTGTCTCTCGTTATCGCGCCATTCGCAGCCAACCCACGCGGTGCAGCCCAACGTGATTCGAACTTTTCTGAGACGCGGCCAGACTCGACGGTCGAGCGGTACCCAATCATCGTGCGCGCTACCAAAGACACGCACGCCAGTCGACGCCCGTACCTACATGTGCTGCTCGGCGCGACTCACACTCGGTCGCGCTGGCACACCTCGCCTCCAACTCGCCTCGACTCGCTTCAGATTCGCCTGAGACTGACCCTGCTTTGCCTTTCTCCAGCCCTGCAGACGAGCTCCATCTCGCGAGACCGTCAACATCTGCAGCATATCGAGACGCCAACGAGACAATGGCAAAGCGACATTCATGGCTCACGCTGATCCATGACAGCATACCGTCCTGGTGACAGCCGCCACGAGCGATCTAGGCGAACATCGTGGCGCCTGCGTACCACGGTGCTGACCAGTAAGGCCACGACTCTTTGCTAGTAGATCGAGATGTGGCCAATCGCCGGACAGTGCAGTGCTCTCTCCCTCTCATTCTCTCTCTCTCTCCCTTTCTTCGAGGTCGTCTCGCGGCCAATGACCCGCACGCTGTCGTTTAGAGCTCGATTGCATCTTTCCGGCAACGAAACTCATCGCGGGGCAAAGGGACACGGGCTTGTTTTGAGATCCGCTGCCGTCGGAACGACAATGCGGGCGCGCTGCTACAGAGAGTGGGGGAGGGAGAGAGGGAATTGCAGCAGGGTCGACTCCAGGGTCCAGCTCACAGTGACACTTGCTCGCCTGTCACCTCTCTTGCGGTAGAAGCAGCAACATCGCTTCTTCGCGCGCTCGCCTCTCGACAAGCTCGGTGGCAACAGCCCCAGCCCCAGCCGAGCATCTTGGCGTCCGGCATCGTGTTCGTTAGGCTGCGGGCTCGGTGACCAAGTCTGCAGCGAGCGTTGAAGTCAAGCTGGCTGCCCTGGTTTGCCTCCGATATCGCGCGCTGGAGTCGAGCGAGTATCCAGCCTAACATGCACTCTCCTCGCTCACACGGGCGAAGTGCAGAACGACACTCGGAGTTCTCCGACGGGTCGCCTCGACACGCAACCGCCTGTGGCCCTCGGTTGAGAAAGTCGAGCTCCCGCTTTTGCAGGTCAGCAAGCGAGGCTGATGCCTTGCTCGCTACTCCGGCTTTTGCACGGTGGCGACGCTGCTTCGACCAGCGGGTCAAACGGCGTCAACTTGAATGCCAACCATGCAGCCATGCTGTCAACGCAATTCTGACGGAACCGACTCCTCGTCTTGCTGACGATCTATTTCGGTCGATTGGAGCCGGACGGCTGCGACAGACATGTCGCACACTGGCCTCACCCTCTTGTCTCGTCTAACTCCCTTCTTTTTTCCGAATTCCGAGCGAGAACGCCAGCGACGCAGCCTAGCGCGATTCAGTCCGGCGAGTACGCCGAGCGACGACACAAGCGATGCTTGCCGATCTCGATTATCAGTCAACTCAACGGACACAGTCAACCCAACGGACAGGGGCCACGGCAGTGTACTCAGGCGACCAGATAGGCTCCATTGTCACAGCGGGAAACAGATCCAGCTGGCGAGCTTTCTTGGCCGAAGCCTGCAGAATTGCGGGGATAGTGCTGCAAGTGGTCGTGTCTGATTGGTCCCCAGAGCATGCTGTGGCCAGCGGGCGTGACCCTTCGGGCTGGCGCCGCCGGTCGCATTGTTCGTCTCGATCGCGATGGCGCCGTGCAGACAATGCGCAGCGTCGTCCTACCCCACAAAAGCGAAAGCGCTTTCGGGAGCACAAGCCGAAAGCTGCATTGCTCAGACATTCACGAGCTCGCGCGAAGATTGCCACGGCGGAGTCTGAAGAGATGGCGCGATGGTCGGTTTTAGTGGACGCGATGGCTTTATCGCCATCCGGCCTAGTATCCGGCGCGTGGTCATGCTGGACCACGCTCGCTTCGGTCGCATGTACAGAGATAGCTTACCCAAAAGCTTCGTGCGAGGCAGTCACGCTGGGTCGCCACCCTATCTACGCAGCGATACCAAGCGGTTGCATGAACCGGCCTTCCAAACCTGCGTTATGCACCCACGCCACCGCGCGCCAATGACGCATCTCGGCGCTTGCGGAGAGATAGGCATGCCGAGTGGCCGTCTGCCTCGCAAGAGTGGGGCGTGCTGCTCGGAAATGGCGAAGAACGAACCTTTTACGCCCCTTGCATCGGCTGTAGCAGCCAACTCTACTCGCAGCGCGTTGCCAGGCGAGTCGCCACTGGCCAGTCCTGCAATCATCAACCTCGTTCGACGAGTCGAAATGAGCGCGTTGGTCAGCGTGCGGATTTTTGAAGGAAGCATGATTTCTAATAGAGTCTAACATGTACAAATTCCGGCGCACGGACGCAAAGTCTCCACATCGGAAGGCTGAGGAGCACATGAAAGCTGAGCAGCTTTTGCGGCGAAGAGGAACGCTGGACGACTCTCAACGACACCATCACGACGGAGAGCATATCGGACATGCTGGGAATCACTTCACGCTTGCTGTTGATTGCCACGCTGGCAGCCGGCGTAGCTGCTGCGCCGAGCGTGCGCGAGGCAGAGTGGGTGTATTGGATCACGAACCCTGTCAAGCCGGACGACGATGCAGCGCACAGTGCTTCGCTCGAGCCGTGTTCGGTCGAGGTGGGCCGCATGCCGTACGAAGGCTACACTGTCAAGCTGCACCGAGCGCCCTACGCCTCGGCGTGCGTGCGTGGCGTCAAGGATGTGCATGCCAGCGAGCTCGTGCGCGGTCCTGGAGAGGTGGTCCTCTTCCTGCCCGAGACGATGGAGCGCGTGACCGGCGAGATGGAATGGTCGGCACGTCTTGGTAGTGCCATGAGTAGCGCGCCCAACGCTGCTGCGGGGCAAGTTGCATTCCAGCTCGCTGCACCCCAGTCGACGATCCTTGCGGCCACGCACGACGTCTTTGCAGTGGCACTGGACGAGGCTGGCTTGGCGACTGCCGATCGATGGGCCACCTTCGACACTCGCCTGCACAGGATGGACTTCCGACCCACCAACACGCTGCAGCTGAACGAGGAGGACCGACCGGAGCCGGTGTTCGGCAAGCCCAAGCACAACGCGCTCGTCAGCAAGATCGCTTCGTCGAGTGCATTGAATCCGGCGCGCATTGTGAAGGATCTGCGCATCTTGACGGGCGAAGACGCGCAGCCGGCCGAGGTGGGCGAGTGGCACAGTCGACACAGTTCGACGTACGGTGCGCGTCGTGCGGCGCAGTGGATCAAGGAGCAGCTCGAATTCAGCCTGGCTCCGCTCAACACCACGTGCGACTACTTCAACTACAGCGCGTACTTTTCGCCCAACATCGTGTGCGAGATCGCCGCCTCTTGGCAGGAGAAGGAGGAGGGGGAGGTGGTGTTGATTTCGGCGCACTACGATTCGCGCGGCTCGTTTGGATCCACCACTGCGCCGGGCGGGGATGATGATGGTAGTGGTACTGCTGCGTTGCTCGCCATAGCGCGTGCGGTGGGTCAGGCTGCCGTCTCCTTTGATAGCCCTGTTCGGCTGGTTGCATTCAGTGGCGAAGAGCAGGGACTGGTGGGATCGCAGATGTACGCAAACCATCTGCGCGATACCAACGTCAAGGTGAAATTCGCTCTGCAGATGGACATGCTCGCCTATCGAAAGCCGGGCGAACCCATGCAGATCGCCTTTCCCGACAAGTTGGCCACCAAATCCGCCACCCAGTTCGTCTGGAGGATCGCCGACATCTACGCGCCCGAGCTGCAGCAAGGCTATACTCCCGCTTGCTGCAGCGACCATCAGAGCTTCTGGGAGGCAGGCTATCCGGCCACCTGGGTGTTCGAACGCAACGGCCCCATCGCCGATCCCATGTACCACAACTCGGGCGACACCACCGACCGCGAAGGGTACGATGTAAAGCAGCTCGCCGCCATCGCCAAAGTCGTCACCGCTTCCCTCCTCCACCTCGCCGGCTTCAACCTCTAGTGTTTCCCCGACAAACATTCGCACCGCCAAGGCGCACCGCTAGGGCGCGGGAAGAAATCGAAAAAGTGCATTGCA